TCACCTCTCTTCTCTTTCTCCCTCAATCCTTTTCTCATTCTCTCCCCCTCTCTCACTCGTCACTCCCCACTCTCTTTCTTCCTCTCTATCCCGCTCTCCTTCTCTCTCCCTCACTTGTCTCTTCCCTCGCTCTCTCCCCCTACCTGTCACTCCCCACTCTCTTTATTTCTCTCTATCCCTCCCCTCTTCTCTCCCTTTCCCTCCCTCCTTCTCTCTCTCCTCTCCCTCCAGCCTTCCCTCCCTCCTTCTCCCACCCTGTCACTTCCCCTTTATCTCCCTCTTTCTCCCTCCCTCCCTCATTCTCACCTCCTCGCTCACCTGTCTCTTCACTCTCTCTCATTCTCTCTCTATCCCTCCCTTCTTCTCTCTCCCTCACTTGTCTCTTCCCTCTCTCTCTCTCCCTCCCTCCTTCTCTCTTCCTCCCTCCGTCTCTCCCTCTCCTACTTGTCACTCCCCACTCTCTTTATTTCTCTCTCTCCCTCCCCTCGTCTCTACCTTTCCCTCTCACCGGTCTCTTCCTTCTCTCTCTCCTCCCTCCTTCTCTCCTTTTCTCTCCCTCCTTCCTTCTCTCGCTCCCTCTCACCTGTCACTTCCTGGGGGATTACATTTCTATTGCGGTCACGTCGATCACACCGTTAGCGTTTGGGGATGACAAATTATTCACAGGAAGCTGAGGTGAGCTTTATTCAGACTTTCAAAGAGACGCGTTGCTCAAAAAAAAAAAAAACACACCAGGTTCTTTTCAAACTCACATTTTGTTTTTTTCACTTTAAGGAAAAACATATCTTAAAGAAACCATGTAAAGGATTAAACCAGCAGCACCACCACAATCTTTTTTCTATATCATTAAAGCTGCATTACGTAACTTTCTGGTCAGATCTGTGGTGAGGCGATCCCACTGACATTTATTTTGGGAATGCAGTCAGGTTTTATTCACGATGAAACAATAAAAAAAAAAAAAAAACATGCAGTGTGAAGTAGAATTAATAAGAATTTTTCATCAAAATGACAAAATATGCCGACTGGATTTAATTACGGTTCTGTGGAATTAATTGTAGTAATTTCCAACACGTGGCACCTCAGAGTCAATTAATCAATTAATCTAAGAATCAATTTGTTATAATTAGAACGGCGGATGTGGTAAAATAGAGTTCACGTTATTATTTATGAAGGTGGATAGTGTAGCTCTTCGTTTGTGTTAAAAGGTAATCATATTTACACAGATTTTAATTTAAGTTGTTATAGACACGAGCTCGGTTGGTACAGTTATTTTTGTGCTGATCTGAAGGTTGCTGGAGGGGTTTCCAGCTCCCACACATGAATGCTGTTGTTGTGTCCTTGGGCAAGACACTCACCTTGCCCTCAGTGTCTGTGTGAACGCTGCTGTATGAATTACCATAGAAACATGAAAGTCCGTAATGCAGCACAGTGTAACTCTGCTGACAGGTCTGCCGTCTGCTTTTCTGCTTGGAGGTGTTATCGCTTTGCCTAAAATGTTCCACAATATCTCCATGGAGACAAGCATTTGAAGCAACCAGACCAAGTTACAAGTCATATCTGTGGAGAGGTGAGTTCGCTCATAGTAAGAAGGCAGGTTTTAGCAATAAAAATATTTGTAAATTGAAGATAGTTATTAATTAATTCATGAATCATTGTATTTATATAGCGCCTTTCAAGACACCCAAAGGAGAATTTTTAGTCCTGCTCCCACATGCGCCCGCAAAGAATAGTAATTTTCAGTCCCACTCCCGCCCGCATCTGTGACATTTTGTCCCGCTCCCGCCTGCAAATCCCGCAAATCAGGAACGTTCGCTTTCTTAAACTCTATCAAACATGTAGAAGTGCAAAGGACTTGTCTAAAATGTGAGCGAGATTAGACCACATCCATAAATTTAGGCTGTTTAAAATGTTTTTGTTAATGCCAAATAAAATATCCAGCAGCAATGATGTAAGACAGTCATACATTAATCATTAGTATATTTTACTTTACACTCATGTTTAGTTTGTGGGACTAAAGTTTATCATCCCACCCGCCCACTCCTGCATTGTACAGTCCCGCTCCCGCCCGTGCCCACAGTGAGCTTTCAAAATGTGTCCCGTGCCGCTCTGTTTTGCGTCAGGTCTAACCCAAAGCGCTTTACAAATTATCCTTCATTTAGTCCACACTCAGTGATTATTGTAGCCACAGCTGCCCTGGGACACACTGACGGAAGTGAGGCAGCCATTCTGCGCCATCAGCCCCTCTGACCACCACCATCACTCACACACACACCACTTTCTTACTAGGCAATGTACGTGAAGTGTATTGCCTAAGGACACAACGACAGTTTTTGAGACTGGTGCCCCACTGTGGCCCCTGGTGTTCCCAGTGGTCTCCCATCACAGTACTGACCAGTAGGGATGTGCAAAAATATTGAAATATCAAAATATCAATATATCGTTACATTTAATGTGATGATACAGTATCACCAAGAGAATTTTTTGGTATATTTTATGATACTTATTATGTTGTTACAACGCTACAGTTTTTTGTTTTTTTTTGCTTGTTTAGTGGAAGGAAACTTGTTTATTCGACACATTTGACATTTTCACTGTTTTGATGAGTAAAATGTTTGTGCTTTATAATCACTTTGTACACGAAGCAGTTTAACAAAGACTTGGTATCACAGCCATGATTTTGTCTTTATTTTTTATTGAACTGTATAAAATCTATTTCAAATATATCGTATTGAACCAAAAGTGCTTTGTATCGAGATATGTATCGTATCGTAGCCTATGTATCGAGGTATGTATCGTATCGTAGCCTATGTATCGAGGTATGTATCGCATCGTAGCCTATGTATCGAGGTATGTATCGTATATGTAGCCTATGTATCGATATGTATCGTATCGTAGCCTATGTATCGAGGTATATGTATCGTATCGTGTAGCCTATGTATCGAGGTATGTATCGTATCGTAGCCTATGTATCGAGGTATGTATCGTATCGTAGCCTATGTATCGAGGTATGTATCGTATCGTAGCCTATGTATCGAGGTATGTATCGTATCGTGGCCTATGTATCGAGGTATGTATCGTATCGTCTATGTATCGAGGTATGTATCGTATCGTGGCCTATGTCTCGAGGTATGTATCGTTTCGGCAACTTCTTAACGATACCCAGCCCTAGTGACCAGGCCCTGTCCTGCTGAGATCTAATCAGGATTTGACGAGCCAAACGAGAAGATTTAATGTCACACTGTGGAACATTCCTCAACATTTCCACGGAGATGAGCAGAGTTACGCAGTACACCTTTAAAAACGACTCGAAGAATCCGAACCCACCATCTCCATATTTAGCGCGACGACCGCAGATGGTTAACACATTGCAATGTTGTGCCTAATGACACTTGGGAATCATGGGAGCGCTGCAAATGGACAAACTATTTTAATTACGCTAAAGAGAGAGAGTTAAAAATGTTCAGTGCGCAGAGATTTGACCGTTGACTCTTACAGGTGGCCGCGTTTGAGTCATTAAAAGTCTCCCGCGCGGTTTATAGTAACGACAAATATACTGTATCAGAGCTGAGGCCAGCGGAGATAATGAGACGGCTTTTAACCAGGTGAAAAAGCAATGGAAAAGAGCAAGAGAGAGAGAGAGACGGAGAGATGGAGGGAGGGAGAGAGAGAGAAATGTCTTGAAATGGTGCCCAAGTTCCCCGCTTCCCAAGAGGCTTTTCAAAATTCAATAAATAACATCTGTAGGCAATGTTGGGTGCAGAGCTAGCACAGTGCGTCATAACAGAAAGGAGAAAGAGAGAAAGAGAGAGGAGAAGAGAGGAAGGAGGGGTAGTGTGAATAGAGAGAGAGAGAGAAGGAGAGAGGAATGAGGTGAAGGAGGGAGAATAGAGAAGGGTTAGGCGAGAATGAAGAGAGGAGAGGTAGCGTGGATAGAGAGAGAGAGAGGAGAAGGAGGGATGAGGTGAGGGACAGAGAGAGAGAATAGAGGAGGGAGGGGTAGCGTGGATAGAGAGAGAAAGAGAGAGAGAGGAGAGGAATGAGGTGAAGGAGAGAGAGGTAGAGAGTAGAGGAGGGAGGAGGGGAGAAAAGAGGTGAGAAAGAAGAAGAGAGGAGAGGTAGAGAGGGGTGGGAAGTGTAGATGGAGAGAGAGAGGGGAGAAGGAGGGATGGAGGTGAAGGAGAGAGAGAACAGAGGAGGGAGGGTTAGTGTGGAGAGAGAGAGAGAGAGAGAGAGAAGGAGGGAGGAATGAGGTGAAGGAGAGAGAATAGAAGAGGGAAGGAGGGAGAAAAGAGGCGAGAAAGAAGAGAGGAATAGAGAGAGAGAAGGGAAGGAGAGAGAGAATAGAGAAGGGAGGGGTAGTATGGAGAGCGAGAGAGACAGAGAGGGAGGAATGAAGGAGAGAGAGAACAGAGGAGGGAGGGGTAGTGTGGATAGAGAGAGAGAGAAAGAAAGAAAGAGAGAGGGAGGAATGAGGGAGAGAGAGAATAGAGGAGGCAGTGGGGGGAGAGAAAAAGAGAAAAAGGAAAAGGGGGTGGGGGGGTTGAAGAGAAACAAAAAGAGGGAGAGAGGAGAGGGGGATAGAGAGAGGGAGAAATGAGGTGAAGGAGAGCGAGAATGGAGAGAAACAGAGAGAGGAAGAGAGGGAGGAGAGACAGAGTATAGGAAGGAGGGAGGGAGGAATGTGGAGAGCGAGGGAGAGGGTAGAGGGAGGACGGACGGAGAGAGAGAGAGAGAGCGAGAGGGAGAGGGAGGGAGAGAGGGAGAGAGGGAGAGCGCTGAACAAAGAAACCATCACGACTGCCAGGTTTCCATAGCAACTGCTGCAAGGCCCGGAGAGTATAATAGCACATCAATCACTGTCCAAAAATGAACTTCATTATCAGCAAAAATAAAACCTTTAGGATGTGTTTAGTGTGTGTGTGCGTTTGTGTGTGTATGTACGTGTGTGTGTGTACTGTGTGTGTGTGTGTGTGTGTGTGTGTGTGTGTGTGTGCACTCACCCCAAACCCCAGGACACTAGCGAAAGTAGCAGCTTCCTGGAAATAGAAAAAGAGAGAAAAAAAAATACATGTAAGTTAATTGTAATTTCTGAAGTGAAGTGAAGGCATGTAGCAGTGTTTAAAGTGCAGTCGACCTCCTCTGTACTCACATGTCCATATGTTTAATTTACTCTCATCTACTGTGCTGCTTTTATACACATGTGACAATTAAAGGCACACTGTCAATCTGTGCAACAGTCGTTCATTTGTTTTTCAATATAAAACCAAAAATAAGAAAACAAAAAAAACAAAACAGTTTTCCTCATTATTTGCCTCCAAAACCAAAATGAAAAAACAGATAATGATTCTTTTTTTCAGTTTTCGATTTTGTGTTTAAATGAAAAATGGAAAAAATGGGAAACGGCCGAAACTGTGATGCCGGAGTTTTGTGCCGCATACAGACTGAACCAGGACTGATCCAGGTCCGGGACCAGACCGGGACTGAGACCAGGACCAGGCCAGGACCAGACTGAGACCGAGACCAGACCAGGACCATGCCGGGACCAGACCGGGAGCAGACAGGGACTGAAACCGAGACCAGTCCGGGACCAGGCCAGGACTGGACTGGAGGCTCAGAGCCCACGGCAGGGCCGAAGCTCAAAGCTGAGGCTCGGACCCTGCGGAGGCTCAGAGTCAAAGATCGGAGTCTGCTCTGGTCCCGCTCTGGTCCCGCTCTGGCCCCAGACCTGGATCAGTCATGGTTCAGTCCGTACGCAGTGTAAAAGTCCGGCATCGCAGTCACGGAAGTCACGTAAACGGGAAAAGTTATCCATTTTTTCCATTCTTCATTTAAACACAAAATCGAAAACTGAAAAAATGAATCATTATCTGTTTTTTCATTTTGGTTTTGGAGGCAAATAATGAAGAAAATACTTGTTTTTTTGTAAATAAATAAATAAGTATATTTATTTTATTTTTTAACAGCTGGATATATAGTTTATTTGGGATGAATTTGTTTTTCTATGCTTATTTCATGTGCCAACTATATTTTAATTAATTTTATGTTTTTTACATCGCAAAAACTGATCTAAGGTTCACATTTGTAGCCTATATTTATTTAAAATTTGAAAGTTTTGCGTACATTATCAATAACAAAGTGTTTTTTTAAAGAGAGAAATGCTGAATAAATGCATCATGTAACTAAAAAAATAATCGTTTGAATAATCGTGATTTCAATATTGACCAAAATAATCGTGATAATGACTTTTTTCCATAATCGAGCAGCTCTAATCTCCATGGAGATAAGCAAGACACAACCAAGCCAAGATACAGGTCAGATCTGTGAAACTGAGCCATAAAAAGTGTATTTTGAGCCATAAAAAGACAGTAATTGAATAAAAGAAAGACAGATATGTTTAATGCGATGCTGTACAACATCCCAAAGTAATAACCATGTAGACAAGAAGGTGGCAAATACACGTTTCCAGCTGAAATATCCAACAACACAACAACAACACAACTGCTTTCCTTCACTGGGGTTGCACGAGAACCTTTCGACGTTGCATATGTATTTTGAAACCATGATGTATTCTCCTTATCTTCTCCTGGAAAAATAGTATTTGTCTCATAAATCCATAGTTTATACAGTTTGTGACGCGAGTTTCCTGGATACTCAGTACTCCAGTTACTTAAGAGGAAGGCATGGACATGTGCTAGTGTCATTACGAAGCAGAGCCAAGAGGGTCTCAGAGGTAAAAGATGGGGCCAGATGTTTGAAAGTGCTTAATGGAGCTTTCGTGTGGTCTCGTAAATGGGCCACAGAACTGGTGAAAATACATCGGACTAATTAAACCAGATTAAGTCGATGTTTTATGTGAGTTCTTGTAAATCTTAAAGCGCCCATAGTACGCCGTTTTGTGATCTGTGGTGTAATGTTGTTTCCTCACCGCAAACATACCCGGGGTTGTGTTTTGTTTCATTCGCACATGTTTAACGCACAAACTCTGCATATTTAGGCTGAGTTCTTCTCTTAAAACAGATAACTTTGCTCTTTGTCATGTCTTTCTATGTCATGTAACAATACAAGAAATGCTCCACTGTGTTTTAAACTCGATATAACTTCACTAGAATCATCATAATTTCAGCGTCGGGACTGCCAATCTCTACAGAACAAAAGCTAAAAGGTAGCTGTTAACTTGAAAACTCCCACTTCATGACATCACATGGTGGAACAGATCATTTTGAGCTTTGGAGATGTAGACAGACGACTCAAACATGTGTGAACGAAACAAAACACAGCTCCAGGTCTGTTTACGATGACGCAACAACTTTATAACACGTCTTAAAGCAAGCAAAAGCACAATTTTGCGTAATATAGGACCTTTAAAGACACATTATGTAACTTTTCTGCTGGGGTCCACCGCCTGATTAACTCTCTGTAGATGTTATTGTCTGGAATGTTCAACAGTGTGACATTAAACTTATCCACCGCCAACGGCAACGTAGAACACCCAGAGACCTGCGAGTTTCTGTAATGCAAAAAACACCTGTGATGAAGTAAATGCCTAATTTCAGTCTGTGTTTTTTTGGCTGAAGTCTTGTGGGTGAGTCTTAAAATATATAGCCAGGGTCCACTTAATTTCATTTCTCTCCAGTGACTAGGTCAGGAGTCGGAATACAAAAGATCAGGGGTGTCCAAAATTTTTTTCAGCAGGGGCCACATATCTAAACACAGATGAAGCAGAGGGCCGATCGAGGGCTGTAGACTGGAGCTCAGTACAGTGAATAATTGAAATATGTGCATGTTTAAACACTTTAGAATGAGCCATCAGTCTTTTTTATTCAGGCTAAGATCCTTAAAACCACACACTAAATATTAAATATTCGCTTTATCAAGGCAGATTTTCAATAAACTTGCAGTAAAAAGTAAAATTTTAATTGATGCAAGGTAATTTGGGCCAATTCACCTGGAAGCCTGAGGGCCAAGAAAAATTTGTCTGAGGGCCGCATTTGGCCCACGGACCATAGTTTGGACATGCCTGCACTAGATGGTTTGCAAGAACCCCGGAAGTTGTAGACCGCACACCGACCAATCAGTGAAGAGCTGAACCAACCCAAGTTGCGACAACAGACTGCATACACTATCCTCCTCTGGACTTCCTTTGTCAAACACAAACTTAGCATTTTTTATTGCGTCATTAATTTGTAAGTTCATCTTGCAGAAACGACAATGATTGTTGACAGACGTGTTCACTCTCTGCTTTGTTTGCTGTTGTGCCGGCAAATTACATGGACACTACTTACCGTTTTGGCGCATTACATACATCAAAAATAAATAGCAGCGATTGGTTAAATAATAAAAAAATAAATAAAAAAAGTACACATCTACCGTCGAGCGAACGAATTCTAATGCTGCGAGGTCAGACAGTTTCCACGAAGTGAAACCGGCTGACGAATCGAGCTATAAAATATATGCAAGACATATTTATCAAAATCCCTCGATATGATATTTTCACAATATGCATCTCACGGTTCGATATTTATTGCGCCATTTTGTAGAGGTTTATAAAATTGTAAATAAGCAACTTTTTCCTTTTAAAAGCTTTGGAAAACCTTTGTTCCTGTTGTAATATGAAGAATTAAGATTTAAAAGTGCTTAATACCAGGTGTTTCTTCATGTAGTCTGCACTGCCAACACCAAAGGATCATGGTCTATGTAGTTCCTTCCATTTTTTACTTACTACAGCACCAGTTTAGACATAAAATAATTCAGAGTGTGATATTATTGTGACACTTTTGACGATACGATATCACGGTTATTGTTACGTTCCTGACATTTATACTATATGGTGAGTTATTGAGGTCCAAGAAGTCAAGCAGAGACGTAAACCAAGAAGTCCATATTACATCTGAGGATTGTTTTGCTGACCTTTTCAACACTGGAACTGGCATGATAACAACATTGCTAACCAGTGTCCATGTGAGCAGCGACTATTTTTAGCCCGATATAGTCCTCAGTAAGTCAGCAGGTCTCTCGCTATACTCCATCATTAAAGGCCACGGGTGAAGAACTTGTTATAGTTTGAACTGTTGGCCACTCCTCTCACTCTGATGTCGAACCATTACAAACAAACAACTGCTGGGAATAGTCACAGGCCGCAGTTTCCACGTGGTTTTCTCCCAAAACAAAACCTCTGATAAGACGAGTCCATGGCAGTCGATCGCTTCTATATTATGTGTGTGCAAAAATATTGAAATATGGATATATCGTTTCGTTTAATGTGATGATACAGTATCGATATCGTGGGCTGCATTATTGATATATCGCCGAGAGTATTTTTGGGTAAATTTTACTAATTTATTTTGTTACAGCGCTACAGTTTTGTTGCTTGTTTAGTGGAAGGAAACATTTGATATTTTCACCGTTTTGATGATTAAAATGTTTGTGTTTCATATGAACTTTGCAGAAGAAGTGGTTTAACGAAGACTTTTCGTATCACACCCGGGATTTAGTCACTATTTTTTATTGAATCGTATTGAATCGATTTAAAATGTATCGTATCAAATCGAAAGCATGTATCGTATTGTGGCCTATTTTAATCCGTAACAGCATCACAAAACTCATCATCCGTCTGCTATCCATTTGCACCCACGGTTTTTGACCAATTTTCATCCGCTCAGTCTCCTCCAAGTTGCTCAGAGTTTTTTGGGGTTTTTTGAGTAGTTAAACCGCCACCTGCCTGCATTTAATTAAAATATTATTTTTCGTCATGTCATCCGCCCGACCTGCGGTTTAGCCACGGTGGTTAAAGCCATGTCTGTGGCTGTAACCACCACCCGCGCATCTCTAATACCCAGCTCTATTTTAAATGCTTCTAAATGGCTCTAATACCACAAAATGCCTTTAAAAATGAATAGGCCTGCAATTAACTCTTGTGAGCTTTAAGCCATGTCATAATGCTGTTACCTCGTCAAAAACAGACCTGGGGTTGTGTTTTGTTTCATTCATTATTCATCTGTATACATCTTCAAAGAGTTTCAAAACACAGTGGAGCACT